GACACAGACAGAACAAGGCCGGGAGGGCAGGAGAGACTGTACAAGACGGGCCCTTACAGCACAGGAGGTGCCCGATGGGTCCCGGAAATACAGGGGGAACACTTTGTAAAGTATATGACTGTCCAACCGCTATGCTGGACATAGCGTATGAGTATGAATACAAAATAATAATTAAAAGTTTGAATTTAAAAAAAAAAAACACTAAAAAATAGCCCTAGCCTGTGTGGCACAGTGGATAGGGCATTGGCCTGTGGACCAAAGGGTCCCAGCTTCGATTCTGGTCAAGGGCATGTACCTTGGCTGCAGGCTCCTCCCCGGCCCAGGCCCTGGCTGGGGCTCATGCTGGAGGCAACCAGTCTACGTGTTTCTCTCACATCGATGCTTCTCTTATCCCCTCATACTCTCCCTAAAAATCAATGGAAAAAGTATCCTCGAGTGAGGATTAACAACAACAATTAACAACTAAAAAATAAACAAATCTTTGAGGGGCTGAGGAGCCAGGGGAGTTGGAGGGAGTTGGGCTGGAGGTCAGAGAGGTGAGGGGCAGAGCGGAGGCGGCTCTCCCCGAGGCAGGACGGGAAGGAAGGGAGCCGCACAGCAATGGTAGGAAACGAGGCTGCAAGTGAGGCGACTGGAAGCTAGAAGACAATGGAGCCGGGCCTTTGAGAGTCGGAGAGGAAAGGCTTTCCAGGCTAGAATCCCATACCCAGCCAGACTGTCAATCAAGGTTGAAGCCTGAACAAAGACCTTGGCGGGCACTTCCTCACCCAGTCCCAGGAAGCTCCCAGAGGACTTTGCAAAAGCAAAGAAGTAAGTCAGTGAAGGGAAAGGAAGGGCTGGGATCCAAACAATGGACTTCGACAAGGAAGGCAAGTGAGTAAGAATGTAAATCTCCAGGGATCTGAACACAGCACCCACACCAGCTCACGGCGCCTGAGAGCATGCTGTAGCGAGTGGAGGTAGAGGCCGGAAGGAACTGGCTGTGTGTGGGAGCAAGAGTCGAGTATGCGGGGCTCGGGGCTGCCAGTTTTTATTATTCTGAGCCTCATTCCATGAAACCGTTTACCTTTTAGGTACTCTACTGGGAATGTGCCCGCAACCAAGGTACATGCCCTTGACCAGAATTGAACCCGGGACCCTTCAGTCCGCAGGCCGACGCTCTATCCACTGAGCCAAGCAGTTAGGGCCTTAGGTACTCTAAATATGTTATTTGAAATAAACACATGCAATTTTTTAAAACTTCATTGAAAGCCTAACGAGAAGAACACGGCGTGGGGCCCGTTTCAGTTTCTTTCATAGACGCAAGCAGAGGTGGGCGGGCTTGTGGGTGACCCTCCTGGGCTGGGCTGCTTTCGCTTGTTCATTTTTGTTTCCGGTCGGCTTTTATTTATTTCTGAAGCAATACTGCAACCAGACAGGCTCTTCGATGAGGGTCAGGATTATTGTCAGCCTGCACCTTCTGGGTGTAAATTCTTCCTCCTCCGCAGGACTAGTTATGCGACCTGCATGGCAAGAGAGGGAGCCTGTGGGAATTCCATTTCCCATCCCTCACAACAGTCCTTGTAAGGGTAGAGGCAGAGGGTGATGCGGGCAGGGGCGTGCTCCAGCAGAGCTCAGCAGTGCCAGTTACCCTTTCCCCCGAAGAGCCAACTCACTGAAAAGGAATGACTATGTTGGGCAAACAACTTTAAAGCTATGATAATGCACGTGAGCTATCAAAATGCCACCCCCCGACAGATCAAATCGCCATGCCTTCCTGGGGGCGCCGGTCTTCCTGAACAGGCTGTGGGGTAGGAGGCAGAGGGCCAGCTGGGACGCGCCCCCGACAACCCGCACCCCGAAAGGTACCCCTTTCCCCTCCAGAATCAGGCAGGCCTGTGGTCTCGGCCAGCCCAGGAGCCGGGAGGCGCTGACACCTGAGCCTCTGAGCCGCTCCTGGTCTTGGCAGACAAGGGACCTTCGAGATCAAGGGCTCCCTGTGGAAACCAGCGTATGGAAGTCATTACCCGCCTTCCCGCCAATGCAGGCCCGCCCAGGCCCGCTCCTGAAGAGCTGTCTCTTCCCGCCCTGAGTCCTAGCAGCTCAAATGTCATTCCTGATTCCCTGCCTTTATCATTAATCCCCACCCCCCCACCCCCGGCAGTGAAGAGCACCTCTCTTTCAGTGTTTTTAGCTCTTTGCTTTCTTCCCTCCGGGGGAGGAGGATGTTAGGTCAGGTCAGGGGGCCCTCCATAGCATATTTCCAAAGTAGACATTCTTACCCTGGGTTCCTGGGGAGGGAGTCTATCTGTTTTCATTGTCCTCCAGCTGCAATCGAGCACTTTTCTCTGTTGTGCAGGGAGAGAACACACCACAACGCTACTAGCAATACCTGTGACTTGTCACCAATAGAAATTACAGACATTTTCAGAGCGTGTTGCCATGGTGACAGAGAAGTTGGAATACCATTTATGCTCATCACTGTTTCAAAGATACAGTAACTGTTAGGCCCCATCAGATCTTGTTGTTTATTGTGTTAAAAAAACAACAACACATATAGCCCGGCCAGCATGGCTCAGTGGTTGAACATTGACTTATGAACCAGGAGGTCACGGTTAGATTTCCTGTTAGGGCACATGCCGGGGGTTGCAGGCTCTATCCCCAGTGGGGGGCGTGCAGGAGGCAGCCAGTCAATGATTCTCTCATCATTGATGTTTCCATCTCTCTCCCTCTCCTTTCCTCTCTGAAATCAACAAAATCTATTTTTAAAAATATATATTAAAAAAATAAAAGCATTACATACAATAAAGTGCACCATTTTAAATGCATAGTGAGATGAGACTTAACAAATGCCTCCACTTGGGGAACCGCACCCCCAGCCCTGGGCACACCACAGGTGCCCACGCGTGTCCATGGACCAGAACTGAATTCCCCAAACAAGGGGTTTGGGAGAAGAGAAGACACTAACTTCCCATTTCGGGGTTAGGAAAGTCCCGGTTCCCGTGGGGGGGCGGGGGTAAATGGAGTCGCTAAGGGGCACAAACACGCGCAATCAGCATTTCTTCTCTGCGTCAGCAGCGCCGGGCTGTGCTAATGGCGCAGAGACGGGCAGGAGGTCGAAGGTGCTGGCTGCGCGACACTGTGGCGCGCCCGGCCTGGCCACACCAGGGGGAGGCTTGCAGGGCAATGGAGGGTGAACTCCTTCCCAGTTTCCTTCAAGCGTGCTGCCCTCGCTCGCCTCCTCTGCCCTCTCTCACCCCTGCAGCAGCGCCCGCCCCTCAGCCCCGCGGACCCAGGAGGACACACCGCCCAGGAGCCCCTCGAAGTCAGGCGGGGCCCAGGGCGGCCGAGCAGGCAGAGCGGGGGCGGGTGTCAGGGAGCAGCAAAGGCTTGCCAATCCTTCAGCTGCCAGCACTCCCGGAAGTTGGTGGAATAAGTAAATAACTCTCTGTCCTAACGGGTGTGCACTCGTGGCTTCCACAACAACGAAGCCTTCTGGGCATCCTCTTAGACCAGCTTGACTCAGCAAGGCAGAGACGTGACTAATTCAGCAAGCATGACATTCTCTGAGCCAACAGCTGCCAGCAGTGCACTGAGCAACCCTAGCTTACTCAGAGCCAGGGTTTCCCAGAAGCAATGCCACACCTACAAAGTGCTCCCTTTCTTAAAAACCCAGAGATAAGGCACTAGCAAGGATTTACCTGTACATTTAACTGTACACACTCGCAAGGAAACAAAGTTAAAGGCACTAGCAAGGATTTTACTGTACACATTGATAGAACTGATGGGGGTTGGTGGTCCACACTCAAATTAGAGATGCTCTGTGTAAGGGAACATGGCACCCAGCTCTCTCTTTGGCCCGGTGCTTAACAAGAGCAACCGAGAAGGGGACAAATGGAGGAAAAGGATTTGGTGTCAACCCAGTGTGAGCTAGGACATCACATCCAGACAGCGTTGTGGAAAAGGAAGCGACTGTCTGGGTTGAACGCACTCCTGTACGTGACACTAAATGTTTTCCCACTTTATTTTATTAAAGAGAGTGGAGTATTGCACTCCCTTACTATTGGGCTGCTTTCACTAACTACTTCCAAAGATCCCCATTTTGTTCATGTTCTTCTGGAAGTTGAGGGTCTTTGCTGTCCCTTCTAGCCCTGGCAACGTCATCCGCTCGCGATGGGATGGGCTGATGCGGGGACACAGTGAGAACGCGAAAGGACGCGGAGGGTGGGCAGGGGCCGGAAGCCCAGGTGGGGCCCATGGGGGTCTAAGGCAGGAGGGACCTGGGTTAGGCCCTGCGGGTCCTGGGCAGCTGATTCCCGCAGCGCGGCTGGTGAGACCGGCCAGTTCGTGCGGGCCCGGGCTCCAGGTTCGCCCAGCGGAGGCCGCGGGTTTAGATGGGTGTGGCAGCCACTGGAGAGCGGCCGGAGCACACAGACCGCTCTGTCCAGCTGCTCCGGGGCCAGTGGTGGGACCATGTGCGCGGTCCTTCCTGCTGCCTCCGCCCCCAGTTTCCTTTGGCCTCCAGCCCGGTCTTGGCGCTTTGGCCTTGGGATTTTCCGTGTCTCCAGCCTGAGCCGCCGTGACTCATAAGACCCAGGGGGTTTGCCCGGAATCCCCATTTTTAAGGCCTGGATTGGGGACACGGACTCTTTGGGGACGGGGTCCCCAGGACAGCTGAATGGCCTCTTGTGCAGCCCCTGCTCCCTCCATTCTCTGCCTCTTCTCCACCGAAGGAAGTTCTCAAATGAATGACATTGAGGACCGCGGATGGCCTTGTACTTGCCCGCTGGTCAGAGAGGGGAGGCAGACAGCCCCCAGCCAGACTGTGCTCCCCCTGGGCATTTGGGAACAACACCCACCTCGGCCTGAGGCCCGCCCTCTGACATATTGTGGGGCATCACAGCCACCCCCAGTCCCACCGGTGCACCGATACCATGCCCACCTCGCCCCTGCCCTGCCCCGGGGTGAGGCCTGGGACCCCAGGGCAGGCTGTGGCCTCTGCCAGGCTCTGTACTCATGAAGATGTCACCCACAGGCCGAGCAGCCCAAAGTGCTGAGTGCCGTGGAGGACCGCATGGACGAGCTGGGCGCCGGCATTGCCCAGTCCCGGCGGACCGTGGCCCTCATCAAGGTCAGCCCCGACCCTGACCTCGTCTCCTCCTGCAGGAGGCTCCTGGCACTGTGAGCTCGCAGCGTGGTCTGGTCCCCTCCAAGGAGGCCTGTGCCCGGGGCATTGCCCAGTCCCAGTGAGCACGAGTGTCTCCCCCGACCTGGCAGAGACCCAGGGCGGCTCCCAGAGGGTGGGGTGGGAGGGGACAGCCACTTCCCGGGGTCTTGAAGGATGGGGCCCAAACAGTGATGGTCTGTGCCCTCCCCGCCGCCCCCACTGTCCGGTGCAGAGCGCAGCGGTGGCTGAGCGGGAGAGGGTGAGCCAGCTGTTTGCGGAGGCTGCAGCCACCCTGCAGGGGTTCCAGAAGGAGGTGCTGGGCTTCATCGAGGAGGGGGAGAGCGCCATGCTGAGCCGCTCCTGGGGCAACCTTCAGTGGCTGGAGGAATAGCATAGCAGGCTGAGCGGGCCTGACACAACCTTAGCCAGGCCCCTGAGGCCAACTCAGTCCAGCTTCCTGCAGGAGCTACTGGCACTCTGCTGGCCCTGGAGGAGGGCTGTCTCACCCCCGCTGGGAGGCCTTGTGGCTCGCAGGGCCTTCATGGGCATGTATCTGGCACAGGAGCTGCTGGCACTCAGGCTGGCCCTGGAGGAGGGGTGCGGCCCTGGGCCTGGACCCCCGCGGGAGCTCGGCTTCACCAAGTCATCCCAGGCTGTGAAGGCGGTGAGAGAGGCGCTGGCCGCGGCCTGTGCCAGCCAGTGGGGGCAGCTGCGGGGGCTGAGTGGTGACGAGGACGGGCCGCACAAGCTCGGCCCAGAAGGTGGGTGCCCCTCCAAGTGACTCACCTCCCAGGCCCCCGGCCCGGTGCCCATCCTGCAGAGGATGGAAACTGCCTGTTGCTGGGCAAAACCGAATCCTGCCAGTGACTGGAGCCACCACCCCGTAATGACCAGTCAGCCGCTTTGGCCGGAGCCGACAGGACGGGGCGGGCGGGGCTTCTCCCCACCCACCCTTTAACTTCAGAGGGGCTGGGGTCCGGGGGGCAGGTGGGGCAGAGGCAGATTCCGAGGGCCAGGCGTACCTGTGAGCCAGGATACCCTCCCTGGGTGGTGCGCCTGTCCCAGGAGGCTTGGGGTGCTGGGAGGAATTGGGGGAAGAGGGAATTGGGGGTCACGGCTTTGGAAGGGGCACCTTGCAGAGCAGCCCAGTCCCGGGGAGCTGACGAGACCCCTCCGCTGTCTTCTCTCTGCAGCCGATGCTGAGTCCCAGGACCCAGATACCAGCAGCCACCTGGACAGCGAGGTGCCCCGGGATTACTTCCTCAAGTGTGAGTGCACCCTGGGCTCGGCCCTCCGCACACGGGGCCCCCTGACGGCCGCAGGGCTGGCCCGGCCCTGGAGTCCCTCCTTGTCCATGGGGTGAGCTAGGCCAGCTCATGGGGCGCGCTCCAGCAGGGCTGAGTAGTGCTGGCTGCAAAGGTGGGGCGAGGCTGTGCTTGGGGAGGTGGGCACCTAGGGGAGGGTGTCCTCTCTGGCCGTGCCCCTGAGCCCCGCGTCTCTCTCCCGCCCGGGGAGCAGTTGCCTACATCGTGGACCTGGACAGTGACACGGCGGACAAGTTCCTGCAGCTGTTCGGCACGAAAGGCGTGAAGAGGGTGCTGTGTCCCATCAGCTACCCCGAGTCCCCCACCCGCTTCACGCACTGCGAGCAGGTGCTGGGCGAGGGCGCCCTGGACCGGGGCACCTACTACTGGGAGGTGGAGATCATCGAGGGCTGGGTCAGCGTGGGCGTCATGGCCGAAGATTTCTCCCCACAAGAGCCCTACGACCGGGGCCGGCTGGGCCGCAACGCCCACTCCTGCTGCCTGCAGTGGAACGGACGCGGCTTCTCCGTCTGGTTCCACGGGCAGGAGGCGCCCCTGCCGCACGCCTTCTCGCCCACGGTTGGGGTCTGCCTGGAATATGCCGACCGAGCCCTGGCCTTCTACGCCGTG